TTTAAAAACAACAAAAAAGGAAACCACAACAATTACTGCTAGACCACCCACACAAGTGCAAGACAGTAACATTTTCCCAAGCAAAGCTGCATTTCATACTTTCCACCTGCTGTCCCATTAAAATGTATTTGCACATTAACAATAGCAACAGGCTTTTATAATTCAGAGAAATTCACCAAAGGTTTACAGACCTGACTAGCACGCTGAGAGCCCCGAGAGGAGTGACGAGGGTGGCGGGAGCGAAGGCGTATGCAGCGAAATTGGCAGCTTCGCCGGCCCCCACTGTCAAAGCAGACAGAATTCAAATAGTTACTTCCAAGAAGCTGAGCCACAAACATGATAAATATATATTGTACGTGAACAGCTGCTTTGAGTTTGTCTTTAAGATGAAAATGAGTTGTTTCATCTGTGCCACTCACTTGATAACAAGCCAGCCCACCAAAGCCATTCTTTTAAGTATGCGTGACCACCTTGGCCTGGAAAGAGAGATGATTCATTTTTCCACATTGTTCAACAATATGTCAGCAATATTGTTTATGACACATTTGCTATAATTAAATTGCACTGCATATCATATATCGGCCACCTTGCACTCTAGTAGGGCTGCACGATTATGACAAAAAACATAATTGTCGATTATTCCTTTGAGAGCCGTACGTGTGTCACGCTCGTTCAGCGGCCTCGTTTCGCTTCGACGGCTTTCAACCTCACCCTGCTTTATTCTACTACGTTAATAAATCAGCTTGATTTCTGCCCGAGTCCCGTCGGATTACATTGGCTGTGGGGATGAAGACGACAACTCCCATGATTCCACACTCAGTCACAGCGTCATCAAACTACGCCTTTGCCTCTTTGTTTATTTTGAATACGCGCCCTCCAGCGGCGAAAATAACATATTGTGCCTTTAAGCTCTACAGGTCGCATTATGAAATACACTACTGTTCAAATGTTTGTATTTACGTTTTATTACAATTAAAAAAAAAAAAAAGATTCCCCGAATCGGCAACGCTGAATTTTCAGCATCATTACTCCAGTCTTCAGTGTCACATGATTCTTCAGAAATCGTTCTAATATGCTGATTTGCTGCTGAAGATGCATTTATCATTATTATCAATGTTGAAAAACAGTTGTAATCTTTTTTCAGGAGTGTTTGAAGAATTAAAAGGTCAAAATTACAGCAATTATTTGAAATAGAAATTGTTTGTAACATTAAAAGTCTTCACTGTCACTTTTAATCAATTTCATGCATCCTTACTGAATAAAAGTATTAATTTCTTTTAAAAAATGATGTCAAACTTATGAATGGTAGTGTAAGTAAAAAAATTTTTTTTTATTATTTCAACTATATAAAGAATGAATTATTTATTAAATGAAAAAAGGGTTATTTAAATACCTATTTATGTGTAAATATCAAACGTTTACTGAACGAAAATTAAACACTATAATCATGCCCGTTTCATTTTTACATGAAAACAAAATATCATTTCACATAACTTCTATTACTCTATGCCCTAAATGTATTCCACGATGGGCCATTTTCTATATATCCATGACAAATTATGTATGTTTTAACAATTTGAAAGCCAATTGAAACTAATTTTTTTTCTTTTAAACACGTTTAAGCAAAATTAAACTGTGTTTGGAAATCAAACTGAATGATTTAAATGTCAAAAATGCTTAAAAAGACTTGTATTGCTTATGTTTGTTGTCTGACAAGCAAATAATGCCATCACAAAACTGGAATGAATAAAACAGAGACTTGACACTTTATAAAAGCGAAAAGCAATTAGTTATAGTTTTCTTTTTTAACAGTAAGACTTTATTTTTGTTGTCTTTAATAAATGACACGAGTCCATACAGGGTTAAATATCTCTGTACGGTGAAGTCAATGACATGGTAACAGAGTTAATCATTTATAAAAAGTGTGCAGCAAGTGATCTGTACAGTGCTGCACCTTTACGTTTAAACAATGACGGCTACAGAACAGGTGTGTCTGAATAAAACATCTCAATCATTTCCCCACCCATACCAGTTAAACCTCTCTGACAGAGCTAGCTGTGTGTTTTCTTGACACCACTAGATTACAAAGCTTACAAAAAGAAACATACCTGCCCGCATAGAGCCCTTCCTGGCCAGTCGAAGGAGTCCTTTTTTCTTTAAGATGAAACTACCACCAATAAATATACTGGAACTTATAGCCAAAGCGAGGCCTATATAGAAATCGTACTTTCCTCTGTCTTGACCCATTGTGTCGTCGGTAGAGTTTCCTCTCGTCACATTGACATACACACACCAAAGATTCAGTCCAGAGGAACAATCCTGGCCTACTGCAAAACCTGGCAAGAAAAAAAAAAATTACAAATCATAATCTTGGAATTAAGTTCCAGTAAGTTCCTAGTTGGAAAAAAAAAAAGCTTATACCATTTTTATAAGAAACACCACACACATTGCAGCTCAAAAAATCTGAGGTTACATTCATGACAACACACACACTGCTCAGAGGGAGAATGAAGAATGATAGTGTGTGTAATGCACAATAAGTGACATCATGTCATAAGCAGTACAGGAAATTACACTATAAACCACACCGGCTCGAAGTCCTACTAGCTACATGTGTTGACATTAGGCAAATATTATCAGCATAGGGTTCAACATAGTGATAAGACTCACTTTGTTCAAAACCTTCATGACTTCCGTCTATTCCATACAATGAAAGTGAATGGTGACTGAGATTGTCATTGTGCAGCTCTATGTGTGTGTTCACGGAAGTTAAGCATTTAGGTTTGAATCAATGGCGAGTGAATAATGACAGAATTATCATTTTGGGTAAACTAGCCCTTTAAGTCGCGAGACACGAGCATACAGCAGATCCAGCAAACTTTAGAGTACAATTAAGAGCTATTACGGACTCGTATAAAATCCCATGTCCATTTTAACCAAATATAAACCAGTTATCTTATAAGAGTCTGCGACGCGCTTGGTTGTCGCGACAGTAGGCGAGATCTTCTTGACATGATCACAATTACCTTATTCATACAGCCAAATCCAGCCGGATAGCCTAGCCAATTAGCTCCATAATTCACAGCAAAACACACGCGTGGCTAAAGGAGGTTATGAAGTCATTCACAGTACCTAGCTGTTTACCTGTGATCAGCTCGACATCGTGTCCGGTCACTGAGATTTCACGGTTTTGACTTTCACATTTTCTCGCGACCACGAAATTCAGACGCGGTGTTGACGCGAACCCATGTAGATCCACCTACACGGTAGCGATGTCCGATTCGTGAGAGAATCATTCTTTTGAGTCGGATCTTTTCAAACGAATCAATCGTTCACCAAACAGTCTAAAGTAAACAATTCGTCCATAAATTCGATTGAATCTTTTTTTTTTTTAATTGCCAAAGTTGAAAATATACAAGAACAAATGCAAATGCTTTTATATTATAGTTATTATAGTACATAGACTTATTATAGTACATATAAATAGAAATTATAAGCACAAATTATACAATAGATACATAATAAATAAAGAAATTAAAAATTAAATATTGCATTTCGATAAAATATACTGCATCCTTTGACAAAATTAATTAAAAACGCATAATTACGTCATGACGTAAAAGAATCACTGAATTGTTCAAAAGAGCCGAAGAGCGGAAGTGAGTCGAATCAGTACAGTGAAAGAGTAAGCAGGCGCGCACACGCGGAATCTCTCTTTTGATTGGTCTTTTGTCGTTTTACGTCTCGTTAAAGTCTTCTTTTCATGCGTTTAAACATTGTAACCAAATGTAAACCGCGTTTTGATCATCAATGTGAAAATTAGCTGTAGTTGTAAATATAATAAATCTGAAAAGGTACCTTCCTCACCTAATATCAAAGTGTAAAAGTGCTTTATGTTGAGCTAGTGACGTAGATGCACATAGGTAAACGTTGAATCAGGTGCAGGAACCATAGATAAACTACAGGAATCACTCTTGACACTAAAACAACTTATATTCTACAGCTAATAAAAACAAATATACAAGGCAATGTTGTAAATTATAAACATACGTGAAAGTGTGTTCTTAATATGCAGTAGGCCTATGTGAAAATATAAATTGTACAAGCACACTCAAACTCGGGTCTGTTTTCATACGGCAAACATTCGCATCGTGTATTAAACGATAAAATCGCTTACAATATAACGTTAAAGATATTAAAATGGTAAACCGTAAATACAACAAAAATGCACTTAAGAGAATACATAAAATAATGCACAACTTACTCTGGGATTAAAATAATTTCAGTTCTTTGGTGGGACGGGATCAGGATGCAGGAAAGTCCTTCGACTAGGAAGCCTACTGTTGTGTGCAAAGGTAAGGAAAACAGCCCCTGCTGGCCGTCATCTTGCCATGCTTTCAATTACATTAAATTATTGATGGTAGACTGACCAAAACTGTCACCATAGAGTTATTCCAGACGGAAATCCTGCCCGTGTTTATTTTTATATAACATGGAAATCATTCATATTTTTATTTTATATTCACCTGGTTAAGTTAATATTGTTTTCAACAAATGTTACTTTTTTAAATGTGGGCATTATTTAAAAGCAAAAATTTGAGATAAATATGAATAACACATGTTTATATATACACACTATGTTGGAGAAATTGTTTTATCCATGGCTGACTGCACAAAAAAAAATTATATATATATATATATATATATATGAGCAATAAATAAGCAATTAACCACTTTATTCCATTTACATTTACACTAAAAAATTACAAAAGGCCCTTATTATATATTAAATTATTCATCAATTTATTATATCATTAAAAGTAAATTAATAATTTATTGTAATCAATAGTTAATTAATGAGTTAATACTGATTCATAATAATATTAAAATACAATTATATAAAATGTTATAGGACCTCTCCCTTGTTTGGATCTGCAATGGTTAATTAGTATTAACAACTAACTCTGTCAGTTATTCATAAAAAATGATGCACTCATGAGTTAGTCCTCTTTAGCTTTGGGTTGGCTCCAAGAAAGTTTAGCTTTTTGAGAGATGTGTAATAAGGCAACGCCCACAGATACTGTGACGAAACCACACAGGATACCCAAACAGTCCATAATGCCGAGTGCTGTCCATTCCCTGAAGAGAATCGCAGAGGCCAGGATGACACAGGAGGTGAACATCACATAGTAAATGGCCTCAAACATATTAGAGCTGAAGCTCTCCAAGGTTTTGTTGATGTAGGTGAACTGGATCAGAATACTGACTACGAGAATTCCCAGCAACCCCAGGAAGAGGTAAAGTGCTCTGCTATCACTTGTAGGTGTTTCACTGAAGGCCTCCTGAGCAGCCAGTCCCAGAGCTTTGCTGCTGGGCACAGTGAAACTCCCAAGGAGAGAAAAAAAATGCCCACATACACCATGATGTTGGATTTTCCGTGAGCTGGAGAAAGCCAGCCAATCAGTATGATCAGTAATAGGACCACCAGTGAGATGTAGACCAGGAACACTGAAACAAGCATGGAAAGATCAGAAACAATGTTTGATAATGTTCGGTTTTGGTTTTTGAGAGTGAGTTAAGGAGGATATTCCTCCACACATGATGATGAAGCAGGACTAAGAGATTTCAGACAAAACAAATGGAGCTTTGAATGTTAAGTGTTGTCACTGCTATACAAAAGCATTATTGCTATATTGTTTTTGATTTGAACTGAACCAACACTAAACTGACTTCATCTGAACAATGACACTGTTGTCATTTAGAGCTGCTTTACAGCAGAATCTGGATGGTCTCCATAGTTGAGTTTTCATAATTGATTCTGCTATTTTTCCTGTTTATTATTGCGAAGCTGCTTTAACACAATCTGTACTGTAAAAAGCACTAAACAAAGAAAGGTGACTTGACTTGATACGAAAACAGATCAGAAAAGTTGCAGATGCTCTTATTCAAAACAACCTACTTGACACTATTTGTAGGAATAGCCCTTTTCAAAAAACCTGCCGTTAAGTGATGTATGAGTGTTGTGTTATCAGTCCTACTTCCTATAGGGATAGTTCACCTCAAAAATAAATATTTGTCATGATTTGCTCATCGTTGTATCGTTTCAAACCTGTATGATTTTTTCTTCTTCAGTAGAGCATGAAAGAAGATATGTTAAATAATGTTGGTAAGAAAACAGTTTTGTTTTCCATTGACTTTATTTGTGTGTCTTGTGCATAAAATAGAAGTCGATGTGAACTGAAACTGTTTGGTATACCAACATTCTTTCGCAACCGTTAAACCACTGGGCTACCACCAAGAATAGATAAATTATGGCTCCACCAGACATGTTTTTCATACCTGGGTCCATCAATCTCTCCTCTAGTTCTGCTCTTGATGTGACACTCCAAGGGGAGTGACCACAACTGCGGGGGCAACATTGTATGCCAGAAAATTTCCTATTTGTCCTACAATCACTATTAAAAAAAGGCATTAATACACACTTTAAAACAACCATTATTCATTTTAATTTAATTTATTTGCAGTAGTAGAGGAATGACTCACTTGCAAGTGTACCACACCACACACACAGTCAGCCAGGTAAGTCCCACCTGTAGTAACATAGATCATTCATTAGATATTCACTCTGTGGGACAAAATATGTGAGATAATAGTCCTCTGATGTGAAATACCTGATTTACGGTACCATCCCCTTTTTCTGTAGTACAAACGTGGATCCATTGATAAAACTGGACACGACAGCAATCACAACACCAACGACTGGGAATGAAGCCTCGTCCATAAATGTATGCGATTTTATGGACAGTCAGTGTCAGTCTTTATATCACTCTTTGTTTTACTGAGCTGATGGAGCCTTCATAGGCCTGTTATGTTGTGGATTTTGTTATTCTAGAAAGGCACACAAACATTATGAACCGATGTACATTACATCCCGGAAGTTCATTCCCAGGAGTTACTTGCCAAACTAACGACCTCTACTGGTTAAGGCAGAGAGAGGACTAAACAATATATAACAAAGAGTATTCTAACAGATAAAGTTATACGCGTTTTAACACACATGAAAAGAGTACAATTATATTTCAATATGTTGTATTCCTTGCATCATCTGAGTTTCACCATGCATGTAACATGAGGTGGCTGCACAAAGTTTTAAGCTGTTTACAGCAGGTGGCGTTGTAATATCAAGAGACAACGTACATCTTTAAATGGGATAGTTCAAAATGACATTCTCAACCACTATCCACTTTCATTGTATGGGGGAAAATGCAATGAAAGTGAATTGTGACTGAGGCTGTCAGCCCAATGCGGGTGAGTAAATGATGGCAGAATTTTCATTAAATAGACTTTGGAACATTTATTTTATCCATGCTAATTTACAAAAAAATTCCGGGGTCATCTTCATGTTTGGTTAATTAAAAAAATGTAATACTTTACTTTGACTTTAAAACTATGGTAATGATAATATGAAAAATATGGATAATAACTGTTTTGGCAAATACACAAATGCAGAAAAAAAAACTCTCGTATTTGCAGAAGGAATAGATGATCTTCAAGTCCCTAAAACGTGTCATTTTTTGGAGGTTTACTTTGATTATTAATATTTTGATTTTGATTTTATTGTCTTCTTTTTGTTTACAATTTTTAATGCTATTTGGAATTTTTTTTTGGGGGGGGGGGGTATTAAAG